ATATGAGAGTATTAAGACTTCAGTGCTATCGAGTAGTTATTTATTTATTTCCTGCATAGTTTGGGGCAATATCCATGTCCAAAATCAGTTTCTGGAAGGCCGGATTGCTGCCCTCCCCATCCTAAATGACATGCTTCCTGTGTTAGTAACTTTGCAGACAGGCCTGGCATTGAAGGAGTGTTTCCAGCGCACTCTGTGCATCGTTCACTTCCCAGTTTGCATGCTTTTTCTTTCCCTTCTTTATCTGCTGTATCATGTTTTCCTTCCTCTGTAAAGCTCCTTTCTGCAATGTCTTCAACTTATGGGACGAGGCCGGAAACCTGTACGAGGCGTGATGGACACCCTAATCTCTGTGTTTAACAAGGAAGCCTTGCCAAAGCGTAATTGCACGTCGTTGAAAGATCTTAAACACAAAAGGAAAACAAAATTCCCTGTTCAACATACATACTTTGCAGTTTGTAAAAACGTAAATAGCTATGCAGGGGGATATTATTACATGTTGTTGCTATTGGAACTTATTGGAACTTGTGTTTTGCAGTAGCTTCGTGGGGAGATGAAACAACCCAGAGAGTTGTTTGCATAAATAGGGACAAGAAGTCCCCCTACCATTAAAATGTTAAACAGGACTCCTCATTATCTGTGACGGTCTTTTGATGACGTTTGATTCCTGCAAACACAAGTTGGAGCTGGCAATTTGGTTTCCAGCGAACTGATAACTGCCACACGCTTATTCCCCTTAATGCTCCACTAGTTCTGCGCTTGTTCTGTGACTTAGGACTGTTTCATTGAGAGAGAAAAATAGCCCCTGCTCAAGCCTGAAAACCTCCAGTCCAGTTCCCGGGTCAGAATGCCGCACTGAAGATATGATCAGAAATGTAAATGTGACCTGGAGAATCAAGTCGCCCTTTGGAAAGCAGGGAGGTGATTTCTTTTAATAGCTTGGCCAGTTGGGCTTGAAAGTGAGCAAACAAGCCGTGTTAATCTCGGTCTGTGGGGCTGAGTCACTACTGAAATTTCTCCTGTGTTACAATAGCATAGCTCCGTCTATTCCAACTGACTTGGTCAGCATCAAAGCAAAGGCAAAGCAGGCCCACGGGATTACCGACCCCTAAAATATTTCTCGGGTCCAGCAAACACAGCCCTTAGGATGTCCTCTCCTGCTCCCTTGCTTTATTTTTGGATTGCTTGCAGAGAAGGGCTTGCAAGCGCCGATGCTAAAGGCAACTGAATCCCAGCCTGCATTACACCCCAGTCCCACCCTATTTTGTTTTATTTTATTTTGTTAGCGCGGTGTTGTTGTTGGCATGCCGCTTGCATTACTTTGAGGGAAGATTTTTCTTATTTTTTTTTTTATATTTCCTTTTGACTTGAATGGCCCCTTTGAAAGGCAGGCCTCTCCTCAACATTTTTGTTGTTCAGATTGAATCAATCTTGCGGTTGGCTTCGGAAAAAAGTCTCACAATGAGACGGAATTGACAGGTCTGACAAACAGAGTGATTGATTGTGGTTGGGAAAGTGGTCCTTGAAGTGAGGCATGTGACACATAGATGCCTTCGCTGGGGGAAATCCAGCAAAGGTTGTTTTTTCTCCCCCCCCTGAACACGGAGCGCGCAGACTTGGTACTGGGTGGCCCTGTGAACTTAATAATAGCAACATTGTTGTAACATAAAGCATCTGCCAGGATTTAATATGATTAATTATACGTGTCTGTCTGTCTGTCTCTGTCTTTCCCAGGTAGATGGGATTTAAAAACCACACTCTGCAGCTGTAAAAGTGTGAGCGTACTGTAGCATTCGGGTTCCCAGGAACGAACACGGCTGGCCTGTAAAGCGTACCCGCAGTTAAGCAACCCACTGCTGAAAGATTGTTCTTTTCCATTATCCCCAATTATTCAGCAAACAATTGCCATGCAATGTGCTATTGGCAAATTATATGCCTTCAGCCAGAAGTACATGAAAGAAAACGTGGAAATGTCAAACATTCCAAGTTATAAATACGTTAGTGCTATGCCGTGCCAATCAGAGAGACAAGGTTACTGGGTTTTCAATAGGTAATTTGTTCCAGATAAGCCTCAATTTTAGTATTGTAGCAATGACATCACCCAATATGTACGAACTAGTCATTCCTTTGCTTTTCGGTACATGACCTGACAGATTGGTTCAGCGTGTTCGCCTTGATTCATTGCTTCCTGCATGTTATATGTACAGTGTTTAGATCGCTGGAAGGGCATCTTCCAGGTGGCTTTCCAAAGAACTCCCATTTCTTTGCTCAAGGGCCGAAGACAGAATCATAACAGATGAGGGTTAGAAGGGATCTCAGGGGTCACATCTAGTCCAACGTCCTGCTCAGAACAGGTCCAGCCCCAACCAGATCATCCCAGCCAGAGCTTTGTCGAGCCGGGCCTTAAAAACCTCCAGGGGTGGAGGCATTCTCCCACCTATGCTTGGTATTCGCCCAACCACAACACCCACATTTCCATTCCCTGCCACCCCCCAACTAACTCCACAGTCCCTTTGGACTTTGTTCTCATTCATGGGAACCTAGTCCAATCTGGCATGGGTGGATAGTTTTGAACCCTAACCCATGCACTTGGGCCTGCAAGGAGTCCCCATTAGCATCGCCAGCCTCAATCTGCACAAGTTCAGAAAAAGGGCTCATCTTCCAGCCCTACACTGAAGTTGGGGCCAGGAGTCGGCGTGCTCTTGTAGCGCAGTCCAGCCATCCTGGTGGGACCAGGACTTCCATCAGCAGCCCTGGCTCGGGGCACAGGCGGGTAACAAGGGTGAGAAAAGGAAGGGGTTACAGAAAGCCTGCTGAGTGCTTTACACACCCGGGCTTTCGGGTGGTTGTGTCGGTCTAAGGACATAGGCAGACAAGGTTCTTGGGGTAAATGTGACGTCTGTTATTAGATCAAGTTGGGGGAAAATTGGTTTAAGGATACAGGCAGACAAAGTTCTTTCGCTAAATGTGCTATCTTTTATTAGACCAACTAAATACTTGGAAAAATTGTTCTAAGGACATGGGCAGACAAGGGTCTTTGGGTAAACGTGATGTCTTTTACTAGACTAACAAAAAAGTTAGAAAAATTGGGTCTGAGGACACAGGCAGACAAGGGGCTTTGGGTAAATGCCATGTTTTTTACTAAACCAACTAATTCGCTGGAAAAACCGGTTTAAGGACATAGCACAATTAGCCAAAGACCCTTGTCTGCCGATGTCCTTAGACCAGTTTTTCCAACTATTTAGTTGGTCTAGTAAAAGATAGGCAGATGAGGGTCTTTGGCTAAATGTGCTATCTTTTATTAGACTGGCTAAATAGTTGGAAAAGCTGGTCTCAGGACATGGGCAGACAAGGGTCTTTGGCTAAATGTGCTATCTTTTATTAGACTGGCTAAATAGTTGGAAAAGCTGGTCTCAGGACATGGGCAGACAAGGGTCTTTGGCTAAATGTGCTATCTTTTATTAGACCAGCTAAATAGTTGGAAAAACTGGTCTCAGGACATGGGCAGACAAGGGTGTTTGGCTAAATGTGCTATCTTTTATTAGACCAGCTAAATAGTTGGAAAAACTGGTCTAAGGACATTGGCAGACAAGGGTCTTTGGGTAAATGCAATGACTTTTATTAGCCCGACTGAATAGTCGGAAAAGCTGGTCTAAGGACATGGGCAGACAAGGGGCTCTGGGTAAATGCACTGTCGTTTACTAAACTGAATAAAGAGTTGGGAAACGGCTCTCTGCAAGCCTCGGGGCTCCAGGCACAGGCGGCGGCTGCTGGTGCTGTGCTGCCCAGCGGCCCCAGAGGACCAGCCCGAGTGGGTTTCCTGGCCGC